TGGAGTCAGATGTGTCGCAGCAGTACCTGGTGGGTGAACAGAGTGTTTTCGAGAATTACGTATTTGAATCATACCCCAAAATGGTATTTAGATTATTGTCCACATACACATAGGTTTTATGCGCTTGAGAACACTTTGGTTATATTCAAAAAGTTGTAGTACAATTTCTTTGGAAATGGTAGTCTTATACAAAGAGTAAATGAAAGAATAGCATATTTTTACATATTTTCTTGTGCATATTACTCAGAATTAACGTCAAAACTGTCCGGCACCCACAATTCATTGCAGTTGTAAGATTGATTGGTGGTTCTCATGCTGGTGAGGGAAGAGTTGAGGTGTTCCATAATGGGGAATGGGGCACTGTCTGTGATGACGGCTGGGATAACAATGATGCCCGTGTGGTCTGCAGAATGCTTGGTTACAAGTAATAATACTTTCACTTTTAAATGTTACTATAAAATATTGTTTCCTATCTGTTTAAAATATCATTTTCTTTTAAAGCCTCCACGAAAAAATGTGCTTTTTAAAAGATCATTTAGAATGAATCTTGATCAATTACTTGTTTTTGTTATGATATTATTGATATGATAATATTGATATTAATTATAACGGTTATTAATTGTCCGTTTCGTAATTTTTGTTTAAATTGCTAACAAGCAATTCTAACATTTGGTTTTGTAAGATACACCAAGCATTTGCTGTACTATATAAGCACTTCGTTTATTTTATGCTTCTTTGCTATATGTAATAATCATGAATTGTCTTCCAGATCTTTTAATATCTGTTGTAAACTAATTTCTTGTGACTTACAAATTCCAGCCCCGTTGCTTCTGTTTCCGTTTCCGGCGCTCGTTTTGGCAAAGGTACTGATTCCATTCTTATGGATGACGTCGCCTGCTCTGGAAGTGAAACCTCTATCAAAGATTGCAGACACAGAGGTTGGAGGACACACGACTGTGATCACTCCGAGGATGCTGGTGTCCAGTGTGTCGCAGCAGCACCTGGTGGGTGAACAGATTGTTTTGTTCAGTTGCATAATTTAGACATTCACCTAAGTGTTGAAAAGTGCATATTCCTGTAACTAGTAAACATTAGTTTGTGTTAGGTGCAGAATAGTGTGTGACATGTTCTGTCAAATTTTGATCAAATATTATCATTTTTTAAACACACTCCAAAACCAACACAATGAATTGAGTTTTTTTGTATCGCCTTTAGATGTCGTTATTACAGAGGTTGAAAGTTTTTCCCAAGATGGCGGAACTCAAATTGCAATTAAAATTGCAGTCAATTTTAAAGAAATTAATAAAACATAAAAGTGGATAAAATAAGCAATTCTTTTAAAATATTGGTTGATATCGTATTTTAACTGAACTTAAACGTATAATTTAAAATATACTTTATGTAGTAAGAAAGTAATAAAACATTTTAGGATATTGGTTCAGTTGCAAAATATGTGAAATTAAAAGAAAAAAAATAATCTCAAACTAAACGATCTCTAAATATCATTTCTTTAAACCGAAACAATTTTTTATTGGTGTTTAGGTTCATATAAAAAAAAAGGCTTTAAATTTAACCTTGGCTGACCTTTTGACATATTTTTAATGAGGCATGCCTTTGTTTACATGTGTCTTAATCAAGAAATAAATTTTCCTATCTTAAAGCTGTGTAAACATATGCATTGTGTTGCTGTATCTTCTTCTATCTTCCAATTATGAGCAGTGTCTTTCCCCTACTTTGAAGAGGGTGTATTTTGACTGATAGGATCAAATTCAATAAGACATAAATTTCTAAAATAAGGCACTTGGGACTCCAAATTTTATTCAAAAGCATTAAACTATAGCATGTTTACGACTCATTCACCAAATATCAATTTCTTACTCAAACACTGTTTTTCAAACACTTTTTGGCTAAAATTTCTGAAAAATCCATACGATATGACCACTTCTAAATTTGCCCCATTATCAATGCCCCTCGACTGAATGGCATTTGTAAATTATGATGTTAATTGTCCAATTCCTTGCCTTCATATTGATATATCACATTGATATATAATTCATCGATAAGTATTTTACCATACTGATTGAGTAAGCATTTTCTCTCCCCTACCCACACCTATATTTTTACTATTACGTTTACACTCAATTGCAAAATTTTCTGAAATAAGACACTTGAAGCTCCAAATTTTCTTCAAATCCACTGCACTATAACATGGTCACAAATCATATACCAAATACCAGAACATTTATTCAAACAATGTTTTAAAGACTTTTTGGTTCTAATTTATGAAACATCCCTAAAATGTGACATCTTGTGACCTCTGACTCATTATCAATGACCAATGACTAATTGTCACGCATCTTTGACTGGTGAAACTAAATCCCATCCCTTGCCTCCAAATTAATATATAATACATTGATATATCTTTTACCATACTGATATAGTAAATGTTTTCTTTTCTCTACCCCCATCTGAAAATAACACTTGCTGCTGGTGGGGAGGAGTTATATAAGGTGTGGTAGCACACAGAAAGCTGCCAGATTGAATAATACTATCACGCATATTTGAACACTAGGCCTTACTAAAATCACTATGAGAAATCTTCCATTTTTATATCAATGGCTGAAAATCAGGGTTCTTGCTCATGTTCTAAGAAGGTCATGTTTCAATGCCCTTCTGTTATTTTTTTTAAATTATAAACGGTACTAATCTCAGAGGTGGATCCAGAGATATTTTCTGACAGTCTTCCGATCCATTTTTGTGCGTCTTCCAACAGAAAAATTAATAAAAAAAAAAATTAGATACCCATCGATGTGAACATGAAAAATCTGACCGTCCTCCGGAAGGCCAAGAAGACAGCCTCAGTCGGGCCCCTGAAACTAATACTCAATAGTTACAAAGATTAGGTCAAGCATGACCTCAGGCGCATTCCAGAAGCCAGGCTTTATGATAATAAAACCAAAATTATTCTGCTGCTGACCCCCCCCCCCTAAGGTGTGGTGAGAGTAGCTGTGTAAGAGTAGACGGACTGATCACCTCAGTTCCCACAGGGGCATTTTTTTCAATGTTATTTACTATACTACATACCACTGTGATACCAGAGGGTACCATAATGGCGTTTGAATGATTTTCACCTTATTCAAGAGTTTTGTGCCCCGTTTTGTGTGAAGCAATGTGTAAGCAAATGGTCAGTGCTTATATAAAACTATGCTGATTGTCATCCACAATTTATTACAGTGATAAGATTGGTTGGGAGTGCCAGTGAAGGAAGAGTTGAGGTGTTCCATAATGGGGAATGGGGCACTGTCTGTGATGACGGCTGGGATGACAACGATGCTCGCGTGGTCTGCAGAATGCTTGGTTACAAGTAAGCAAATAGTTTATTTTGTTTTGTTTGCTATTCACCATACACAAAAATATGGCCCCCTTAAAATTCTGCTGTCAACTAATTTGATACCTCTTACATATTCCAGTCCCGATGGCTCTGTTTCATTTTCCGGTGCTCATTTTGGTCAAGGTACTGGTTCCATTCTCATGGATGAAGTCAACTGCGATGGAAGCGAAACCTTTATTCAAGACTGTAGACACACCAGAAATCATAACTGTGTTCACTCTGAGGATGCTGGTGTTAGATGTGTCGCAGCAGGGCCTGGTGGGTGAACATTTAAACATTGTTAAAAAAATTCTCTAAAAAGTATGGAATTTAAACTTTAAATAAAACACGTGATCAATTTTTTCTATCATTGAATGCTAAAGAAACTTTAAAAATTGTTGAAAAAAATACGTCTATTCTCATTTTCCAGAGACTTGCTCATACAGCGGTTTTATTTTCAAAAATAAAATGTTTTTCAAACAATATTTTTAAAAATATTGCAACCTTTAAAATCCTTAATGTAAAATGGTGGAAACCAAATGGAAAGTTATCTATATTTGGATAAAAAAACACACTTTATTCTTTTTTGTTTTTTGTAAGACATATTTAAATTTAGCTAAATAGACATCAGCCTTTCTTATTTATCAGTGCATGCTTAAGAATTATAATGGTATCAGCAGATACTAGTTTCTACCGTGCATCTTTGAATGTACTGGCATATAGAAAACACTGTGAATAAAAGTTGATTCTTAAAGGACATAATGTTAAGAATTGCATGTTCTAGACCAAATATTTTAAAAGCTGTAAACTCTTGATTCGATTACACAATCTCTAAAGAATTACAAGGACTCTTAACTTAATCCTAATATTTGTGAAGTAGTCCTATTGCAAATCGTAATTGTTTCTTGACAACATTCGTGCAGTTCAAGCAGAATCCCACGAATATTCTTAAATCTATCTTTACAAATTTGTAACTGAATCATACATGTTTAATATTTATACCAGAAATTTTCGCATTTTCCATGATTTCTCGCGTTTCTAAAATGTGTCAACTCATGGCGGTTCGTGGGCATAAGGGGTATTGCAGAGATTGGCACACACTAGCTGTCAAGATTGGTCCAGCATGGCCTCACTCCAGTGTACTCACCTTTCCACAGATAATGACGCACATGCGTGGTTTACTCATTTCCGCTGGTCGTGGTGTTATGTCTATGTCCAGTAATGCATGCAGGTCATTAAGAGGTGAATGCAATAAATGGGTTAACTGTGCATGTGTTACCGAAAATATGCAAGAATCCATGACCAGGAGAAAAGGGTTTAGCAAGCATCCGTGTCATCATCTGGGGAAAGAGTTGTGTAATTAAATTAAACCCCACAATTATTCTCCTCTGCTGCTACCCCCCCGCCCTCTTAAGGCAAGGTCGTCAGTTCCAACAGGGATCTCTTTTTCAATGCTGTTTATCATACTACTTACCACTGTGATATCAGAGGGTGCCATGATGGTGTTTAAATGATTTTCACCTTAGGCACAAGTTTTATGTCCAGTTTTGTGTGGTGCAAAGTGTGAGCAAATGGTCAGTGCTTATACATGATGAAAATTATGCTGATTGCCATCCGCAATTCCTTGCAGTTGAAGTGAGATTGGTGGGTGGCTTTCATGCCGGTGAGGGAAGAGTTGAGGTCTTCCATAATGGCATATGGGGCACTGTCTGTGATCGTGGCTGGGATAACAACGATGCTCGCGTGGTCTGCAGAATGCTTGGTTACCAGTAAGTAAATCGTTTATTTAAAGTTTCATTTGGTATTCACCATACACAAAAAATATGACACCCCTTACTTATGTCAACTAATGTGATATCTCTTAAAAATTCCAGCACCCAGGGCCCAGGTACCTATGCTATTACTCATTTCGGTCAAGGTACTGGTTCCATCCTTTTGGATAACGTCGCCTGCTCTGGGAACGAAGCCTCTATCAAAGATTGTAGACACAGAGGTTGGATGACAAATAACTGTTATCACTATGAGGATGCTGGTGTCAGATGTGTTACAGATGGCAGATGTGGGTGAACAAAATGTTTTGTTCAAGTACACATTTTTTCATGTTTCATTCTGGTATTTACAAGTAGATTATTTTTAGCCATGGACATGAGTCTTGTGCGTCTTGAATATTATCGATAACGTTACACACAATTTAGGACAATTCATTATAATATAATAAAATATAACTACATCAAAATTCAAAGCAATGATTCCTCATTTTGCAAGCGCCATACTCAAAATGAACGTCAGAGTGACCCGGCTTTGTATGGAACTGTGTGTGACCAAATAATAAGTTGAAAAAAAAAAAAAATGCTGATCGTCTTCTGCAATTCCTTGCAGTTGAAGTGAGATTGGTTGGTGGTTCTCATGCTGGTGAGGGGAGAGTTGAAGTTTTCCATAACGGCAAATGGGGCACTGTCTGTGATCGTGGCTGGGATAACAACGATGCTCGTGTGGTCTGCAGAATGCTTGGTTACAAGTAAGCAAATTGTCTATTTCATACTTAATTTGCAACTCATTTTAATCATAACAATACGCCATTCATTTAGAAAATAACAAAAAAATAAATAAATAAATAAATAAAATAAAATAAAATAAAATAAAATAAAATAAAATAAAATAAAAAATAATAACAATAATTTACCGTCACTTCCAGCCCTATGGATTCCATTTCCTTTTCCGGCGCTCATTTTGGTCAAGGTTCTGGTACCATTCTTATGGATAACGTCGCATGCTCTGGGAACGAAGCATCTATCCAAGATTGCGGACACAGAGGTTGGAGGTCACACAATTGTCGTCACTCTGAGGATGCTGGTGTCAGATGTGTATCCACAGTACATGGTGGGTAAACAGAGTGTTTCTTCAATTAAGTATTTTAGACAAGTCTCTTACTGGTATTTAACTGTCTGTCCCTATGGACACCAGATTGTTCACATGGTTTTAGTCCTGACCCATCTCGTCCACCTCCACCGCTTCTCCTCCTAGACTACAAGAGCCTGTGTACCCATATCTTGGATGTGGATCACACATAATCTCAACTTGATCCATGTGAACTTTGGGCTTTGTCGGTGCACAGTTCCAATGCACCATTGTCCAAATTTTGCGAAATTAAATGGAATGAACGGACGGAATGAATTATGTGAAAACTTACTTTAGATGTTTGACTGGAGATTTCAAATATGGCCTTGGGTTTGACCTCTGGCCTTAATTTTAAGGTAAAACAGGCCAAAATTTTGTAAAGAATCCTCATATTTTTGTAAAGATTATTTAGCCGAATTTCAGAATCTACACAGACCTATTATATAATATTATGAGCAGGTGTTACATTTGGGGTAAATTTTCATCTTCATGATTTTGGGGTCAATCTTTGTTGCATTTCGTAAAGGTTGTCCAGTGCAATATTGGAATTGGTTTTCTTTTTTGTATTCCATACGGTTTAAGAGTTATGCTATATCAAAAATACATCACAATATTCATTGTTGAAAATAAAATGTGATATACTCCAAACTGATTCGCCCATAGTTACTATTAAACTTGAGTAGGAGTTCATATACTTGCAATCAACCTGTGACCTTGAAATTGACCTTTCACCTACTTTGCATGATGAACTGCATTTTGCAAAGTTTCCTGCTCTTATAGCCTATATACAAAACTGGCAGAGATTACTATTGGACTTGAATAAGGGGTCTTATATTGGCAATTGTTTCTTTGACATTGAATTTAACTTTAAACCTACTTTTCAACATGAATTGCTTTTTACAAATTTAGAGAACACACATAGTTACTACTGAACTTGAATAGGACATCATAAATTGATCATCTTACTTACTTATTTTATTCCACCGCGATTTTTTAATGATCTACAGAAACTCAAACTCAAATTGAAAGTCAAAACAGCCTTCTTTTGTATAACAAATGTATAAGCAAATGATAATGTATAAGCAATTTTGCTGATCGTCAACTGCAATTCCCTTTAGTTGGAGTGAGATTGATTGGTGGTTCTCGTGCTGGTGAGGGAAGAGTTGAGGTGTTCCATGATGGTGAATGGGGCACTGTCTGTGATGACGGCTGGGACTATAATGATGCTCGTGTGATCTGCAGAATGCTTGGTTACAAGTAAGCAAATTAGTTATTTAATTTTTCATACGATACTTCTTTAAATTACAAAAATATGTCAACCATTTAAAATAACTTTAATATCACCCCTTTTTAAAATATGATTTTGTCGCCTTATGTGACGTCATTTACACATTCCAGCCCCCAAGGCTCTGTTTCCTTTTCCTATGCTCGTTTCGGTCAAGGTACTGGTTCTATTCTTATGGATGACGTCGACTGCTCTGGGAACGAGGCCTCTATCCAATATTGCAGACACAGTGGTTGGAGGACACACAGCTGCGATCACTCTGAGGATGCTGGTGTCAGATGTGTTTCTACAGTACCTGGTGGGTAAACAGAATGTCTTCTTCAATTACGTATTTACACATGCCCCTTGTGGTAGTTAACTGGTTGTCCCCATTGGCAAGGGTTTATTTCAGATGTAAAGACTTTGACTATGCTCTGACATATTTCATATACAACTCCGAAGAGACTATAATATAAGATATCAAGTGAACGTGAAATATAATCATGTCAACAGGGAAGAAAAGAAATGTTTCCACATTTGCCAGTACTTTTAACACAAACTGAAAGTCAAAACCGCCTCATTTTGAATAAAACATGTATCAGCAAATAAGTAGTGTTTATAAGAACTTTTACTAATCGTCATCTGCAATTCCCTGCAGTTGAAGTAAGATTAGTGGGTGGTACTCGTGCCAGTGAGGGAAGAGTTGAGGTGTTCCTTAATGGCGAATGGGGCACTGTCTGTGATGACGACTGGGATGACAACGATGCTGCTGTGGTTTGCAGAATGCTTGGCTACAAGTAAGCAAATCGTTTATTTTATGTTTTATTTGATACTCATTTAAATCATAAGAATATGTCATCCATTTTTTTATCTGATGATGTCATGTTATTTCATGTCACTTACGTATTCCAGTCCCGTTTATTCCGTATCCTTTTCCGGCGCTTATTTCGGCCAAGGCACTGGTTCCATTCTTATGGATAATGTCGCCTGCGGTGGAAGTGAGGCCTCTATTCAACACTGCGGACATGTAGGTTGGAGGACACACAATTGTGCTCACTCTGAAGATGCTGGTGTCAGGTGTGTCGCTGCAGTGCATGGTGGGTGTTGTCTTAAATTACGTATTTCAGTCATGCTGCATGATGGTATTTAGATTATTGTACAACCAACGTGGGCGCTGGCACCCTTGTCCGAAATTTTCAAAATTAAACGTTAAATGTCTCCCAAACCAAAGGAATATTGTAGTGTCTGTCATTTACTGGCAATCTTATTGTGACCTTGAAATGAGCCTTTGACATACTTTTCGCCATGAACTGCACTTTTTAAAATTTCCGACCCTTATATCTCCACAACTGGCATTTATACGCCTATAATAACGTTTGAACTTGCAAAGGAACTCATATATTGGCAAAGTTAGTACAGTGTATGACCTTGAATCTGACCTTAAACCTTCTTTTTCTCATGAACAGCACTTCTATTTTTTCCGACTATTATATCTCCAAAACTTGCAGAGATATGCCCATAGGTACTATGCACTTGAGAAGAAAGTCATATGTACACAATCTTACTGTGACCCTGAATTTGAACTTTGACCTACCTTATGAACTGTACGTCACAGTTTTTTCTCATTGTGCCTCTCTTTAGTTTTTTTTTATTCCATGGACTTATGCGCTTCGAAACACTTATGTATATATTTTATTAAAAAGTTAAGCTTAACAAATATGATAGTGCAGCACTAATACACACTTAAAGTTAAAAAGATGTACTTAAAAGTAAAAGATAAATAATAAGTCAACGTGAAAAAAGCAACATTTTCTCATATTGGTTAGTTTTTTTACTCAAAATGAACGTCAAAATTGTCCTGTTGTGTATTGAGCCATGTGTAAGGAAATAGTTCTAATATGAAATTTTACTGACCACGTGCTTACTGCAATTCCTTACAGTTGAAGTGAGATTGATGGGTGGCTTTCGTGCCGGTGAGGGAAGAGTTGAGGTGTACCATAATGGCGAATGGGGCACTGTCTGTGATGACGACTGGGATGACAACGATGCTGCTGTGGTCTGCAGAATGCTTGGTCACAAGCAAGTACAAATATACTATCACTTTTACATGTTATAATATAGAACCTTTATTATCGTTTTTAAGAATTAAATGTGTGACGCCTTCGTGAAAAGATGATGGTATTTTTGAAAGATTATTTTAATAGTAACTATTGAACTTGAATATAGGAAGCCTTATACTGTCAATCTAACCGTGACGATGATATTGACATTTGGCCTACTTTCATCATGAACTGCAATTATCCGACACCTATTTCCATAACTGGCAGAGTGAACTTGAATAGGAAGTCATATACCGGTACATGTATATGCAATGTTACTGTGAGTTTGAATCTGTCTTTTGACCTATGTTTTCACATGAACTGCACTTTAAAAATGCCCGTCTCTATATCTCCATAGCTGGCAGAGAAACGACCATAGCTGCTATTAAACTTGAATAGGAAGTCATATGTTGGCAATTTTACTGTGGCCTTGAATTAGACCTTTGGTCTCCCCCAGGGACCGCACTTTACACATTTTTCGACCCTTTTATCTACAAAATTGGCAGAGACATACCCATAGTTACTATTGAACTTAAAAAGAAACTTATTAATTGGCAGTTTTCTGTGCCCTTGTGAACTGCACTTTTCAAATTCTCTGACCCTTATATCTCTAAAATGACAAAGATACACCCATGGTTACTATTGAACTCGAAAAGGAAGCCATATATTAGTAATCTTACTGTGGCCTTAAATTTGACCTTTCACCTAGGAACGACACTTTTCAAGCTCAAGTTCTCACATTTACTAGTGAACTTTGGATTGGACTTCTTATATCCACAGTCTTACAGCAACCTTGGATTTGTCGTTTTACTTTACCCATGATTTTGATAGAAATTGTAATTTTCTACAAAAATTGAGATCTCTTGTTTATTTCATTTATTTAGCTTTTCAAGCACAACACTGGGGGTGATGTCCCATTTTTTTTCATAGAAATGTGCTTACTCCAGCTGGTGGTACAATACCAAGAGGCGGTATAGCCTCTTTGATCCTGTAGCTATAATGGTTATCAGTTGTCACTTCCAGAAAATTTGTTTGAATTGCTAACAAGCACGGTGGATTTTTTTTTTCTGTGAGATACACACCGAGCACTTACTGTAATATATACATGTATATTGGAGGTAGAAAATTTTGACTGGAAACCAGAATAGTTAGGATGGATCATGTTTTTATTGATGTTTTAGAAGTTGTACCATTTAAGTCCAGTGGTGAATGATTTATTACGAGTTATTTTGGGCGGTGAAAGGTTAAAGCGGACGGGCTGTTCATAAATATGTAGATCAATGTGAAGTTCATGCCAAATCATGAATCATAATTTGCACATGCGTTGTAGGAGAGGTGTAAAAGTGCAGTAGTCTCGGTTGGCAAGAGCCATTGTTACATATTGTTACAGGGTAGTACCTTGTGACTTCTCATCCAGATTATGCCTGAAATCTGTCAGTGTTTTTATACTTGATTATGTCACAAAGCCCTGTTCAATCAATACACCCAATATTTCTTGAACTGTACATGTGTTTGTCTTTAATCAAATTATTTGATTAAGCCGATAGGTGCACAAATGATATTTAAGATAATTTATCCGTATAATGATTGATAATCATTTTTTCCGTCGCAAGATTAAACGCTTAATTATTTTTTGTAGCGACCGTGGTGCAACTGCAGTCAGTAGAGCTAAGTTTGGCCCGGGTTCTGGATCCATTCTTATGGACGAGGTGGCTTGTACTGGCGGAGAAAGAACCTTGAAAGACTGTCCCCACGAAGGATGGGGATCGCACGACTGTGCACATTCGGAAGATGCTGGTGTCAGGTGTTTGTCCTAAGAACCTATAGGCAAATGTCAATAAGAGCAAGGCTTTTTAGACATACTGTAAAACTCCTTACACGAATGATTGTTCTCTGCCCTAGCTACCAAGTTGTGTTCAACTTTTGAGATTGTAGATATACATGGTTTCACGAGATGGCCGCCAAATCCTATAAAGAAATATAATTACCATTAAAACTTTTCCCTAATACATTTTCCTTTACTTCTACGTCAGAGTCGGGGTTATGTGATGGGACAGTATAGGACAAAATGATACACTCTCCCAACAAGAAAATGCCACACTCATGCACAGAAACAAGTCATATAGCAATGCCAATGCCTGATTTTTAATTGAACTTATTGAATAGTTTTTTCACGAAATTGTACAAATTGAACAACCAATGAATCAGCTGAACATCGAAAAAGTCAAAACCACATCTTAGTATTTTGTTCCCTGGATTGGGGAACACACATGACACGTCTGTGCATGGGGATAAATTAGTGGCGGCATTCCACATACGGCGCAGAGATAGTTTATGATCATTTATGATTGGAGGGTTATCCTTTAGAAAATACTCTCCCGAGAGTATCATTTTTCGCTGATGTTACGATCTAGGGATAGCGGTGGTTATAAAACTGGTTGATCAATATATATTTTTACTAAGTTTCCTTTTATATTCCCTTTCTTCCTTTCTCCTTTACTATCCGAAAAGGGGAGGGGGTTCTTTGGTATCTTCACCAACCTGGGTGGTTATTTTAGGCAAGTACTGGCACACCTCTAACCTCCCCCTCCACTCCGACCAGGGGTATGCCCTCATTGCCTTACTGGCGGCTAAGTATTGGCCAGCGGCTATATATGGAGTGAACTCTACAGTAAATCCACGATGGGGAAACGTTCGGTAACCTGTTGATACAGAGAAATTACCGCGATTGGCAGCTCGTGCATGCGGCCTGTTGAAGTGCTAAAACACATTTTATGTGCAGATGGATAGTCTTGCTATCATAGACAAAAAGTAGGACTTCAGACTCTTCTAAGCAACCTTGGAAATTATTGTAAGCATTGGAAATTAAAAGTTAATGCAAACAAATAAAAATAATAGTATTCAACAAACCTGGCAGAATTGAGCCGGGCACTTTTTTTCATAAATAGCAGACCGATAGAAACGGTCAAACAATACTTATACCTAGGGATGGTCCTTACTAACACAGGTTCACAAAAAATATTAGATCTAAGATAGAATATCTCAAGCAAAAAGCCCTGAAAGCCATATTTACACTAAAGGGAATGCTAGCATCACAGGAAATTTCCTCACCCATACTTACCATAAATCTTTCCAACAATATGATTAGACCCATTCTCGTATATGGATGGGAAATCTGGGCTCAAGAAATCTTCTCAGGAAAAGAATGCCATTAAATATAATAAACAAAATACCCTTTGAGCAAATACACTTAAAGATGTTGTAAATGGGCACTTGGTGTGAGAAGGTCAGCCAGCAATAATGCCTGCAGAACTTTGGGCGTCTCCCATTACACTTGGCTGAATAACCTCCCAGAGCAAAGAATTATCAAGCAAGCGTACAACAGATAACAAATAAAAAGGGAAAATAACTGGGTTTGGGCAACGTCAAACTTGGCTTCATGTTGGGGACTAAACCATTTAAATTCCACCACAACTGACAATAAAATTCACATTCACCAAAATGTAGAGAGTGAAAAAGCCATCAAAATAAAATCAGATTTTTGGGAAGACTTGCACAGAGAGGAAAATTAAGCTAAGGACATACAGAAAAAATAAAAATCAATATAATCCTGAACCATACTTAACAATGAATATTTCAAGTACCTACAAAAAATATTTTGGCAAAAATGCGAATAATTGACAACGATCTAGAAATTGAATGAGGGCGACATACAAACCCAAAAATACAACTATACTTACATTATTGGCAGCATTTGATTTAACTTCGTCACAAGAAAACAACTATCAATGGGACAGTGAATGAAAATATAGTACGATTGTATGAGGTTCACCTCTAGGTTAATTTACTGTAAATATTTGGTTTTAATTTTGTGCCAATTTGATAAATTATGGTTGGATTGATTATTTTTAATTAAGAAATTCTGTTTATCATTTATTTGGAATGTTTTATGCCTTCTTGTTCTATAAATAAGATTTGATGTTTTTCTTCCCATTCTCAGTTTGCAGCATCTAAAATTAAGCAATTCACATGTGCGGGATCAGGTCCGAGCTCGTGTAAACACACTGTTTATCACACATTTTGTTCACAAACTGGCATACAATTAACAGTACCGAGACATTACTGCACACAGGGTAAGAATATTCATTAAAATTATAAGATGTTCAATAAGAAGTTATCAAAGGACCTTGTTCACGTAACTGACTCAAAAATTAGAAGCAATTATTTTTTCTTACTTTATTCAAGCAGTGATCAAACTATTTCATAGCTTTAATATATATATATATATATATATATATATATATATATATATATATATATATATATATATATATATATGTATCATACCGTAATCCTTATTGCTCATTTATTTAAATCGCATCAAAACGTTTGATACACAATGTTCATTAATGTCATAATTTTGGCGATTTATTGAAACCATATTTGTACAAAGTAGGTTAGTATAAGTAAAGCAACAACCAGTATGAAGAACAACTCCCTTTTTATGTGAGGCAAGATACCCTATTCACACTGATTATAACCTTGATAAAGACATTACGCAACAAGGCAAAGGAGTTATGCAAAGTTCTTTCAACTCGTGTGTAAAAAAATCACAATCTTTGTCACTTTTACAAGCCAATGGAGGCAAGCAAGTGGAGTAATTACAATATACAATAAAAAGGACATTAAATTAGAAAGCTTACTTCGGGTCAGCCCTTTGCTTGTTTGAAGGAAAGAGATAGATATCGCGACCCGACTCCCTTTATTAAACCTTCGTGTGTTTGTGTAAAAGTGTGAAAGACAGGCAACGGTCTTGAGTCGCTGTTGATATTGTTTGCAATTAATATTGAAGTATACCTCCTTCGCCTGTATGTAAACGTGTTACTTTTCCTCATGTAGCTAACTGCAGTTAAAATTGTGCCAGCCCAAGAAGTTATATTTACA